TTGTCCCTTTCCTCCACCTGGCTGGAGGCAGGGCCTCTCTAATCCTGATCACTGGTGCTCATGGTTTCTGTATATGAGTCAGAAGTTCCTTCATCACAATCAGAATTAAGATCAGCCCTTCTATTGTGTCTGAAAAAACAACGATCTACCCCATCTCTGGAAATTGGAGCAACAAGTTTCTTGGAAGAGCCCCCTTTTGTGTTTGTTTTTCTTTGCAACTCGCATACTCGTGCCTCTAGAGCCGAGGTAGGTTTTCCATCCCATTTCCTCATGTCCTCTCCATAGTCACGCAGGCGAAACCATAGGGTGCGCCGCAGTGTGTACCCTTGATATCCTCTCTCTTGAGCAGAGGGACGCTTACTCCTAGTGGCTGAGATACTTGCCTGTACAGGTGGGGAGTGAGATATATCCTCGTGGAATTGTTCAAACTTCCAGGACAGTTTCTCCACAGCTGAAACAAAGGAGGAAGAGATACTTTACTTTCTTCATATTCCCAGATCTGGCTAGCCACCTCATCCACTGTCGGTCCCTCTCCATCCTTCCAGCTCAGCATTGCCCATGTGTTGGCATATGATGTTGGTGCGCTCCATAACAACTTCTGCCACATGGGTTGTGTGCACCGGACATTATCTGGATCTTTGGGCAACTGGTCATTGTCCAGGTCACTATAAATCACCTGCGGGACAGCTAATTCCCTCAGGTATTGGATGCCTTTCTCCACGGTGGTCCATTTGCCTGGGCGATATATGACATCTTCCTTGAAGGGATATCTTTCCTTCATGGCTGACAGTAGTCATCTCCAGAGGCTGAGCACTTGTGCTCCTTTTCCAATCATTTTGTCAATGCCCCCCTCCCTAGAAAGGGATCCTAGTTGCTTGGCTTCCTTACCCTCCAGTTCCAAGCTGTTGGCCCCATTATCCCAGTATTGGAGTAGCCAGGTGACAATGTACTCACCTGGACGACAGCTGAAATCTTTTCACATATCTCGCAGCTCACTCAAGGATAGGGATCGGGTGGTTTCTGTCTCGTTTATGAGCTCTTCCTCCTCCTCTTGTGATGGCCCCTCTTCTTCATCCTCCTTTTCTAAACAAGTTGACTTTAGCTTCCAAGATTTCTTCTTTTGTATAGGGGCGACTGATACTGGCACGGGTTGGTTCCCTGGTTCAGCTGCAGTGCCTGTGGCCTGGGTTGGAGTAGCTGCAGTGGCTATGGCCTTGTCATCAGATCCAGAGATTTTCTCTTCCCCTTTGGTGTAT